GGTTTTGATAAGTGGTTCCAGATGTTTTTGCCCATGCTTAAGAGATGCCAAGTTTTTTGGAAGATGTTCGCAGCCAAAAACGCATTCTTCCGTACGTCGCATTTCTGTGTAATTTCGCATGTGGTGTGGCATTATGTCCGGGATGATGCACGTCTTTTTATTTTTACCGTAGCTGTTTTGATATTGAAGTAAATGCATATTTTTAGAAACATCCCTACTTTTACAATCCTGTGGAATAGGCCGTAGGTTTAGGCAGTTGTCTGGTAGCAGAGGTACTCTAAGCAGATGTCCTGGTTATCTGGCCGGCGGTAGTAACACTCGTGGTGCTTACCGCAACTGTTGCTGGAATTTGGCCTGTTCCAGGCGCGCTTAATTAGGTACAAGCACGGTAAGATGGTGGGGCTGTCTTCGTTACTAGCGGGTCGGACCGTCTCTTTTCAGGGGTCCACCGCCTTGATAAACGATATTTACAAGAAAGGCACTCTCTCTAACTACCCGTAGTTGCTGTAGTTGTGTAGTTGTCATATTTCGTCTTGCTTCGGAGCGGCTAGCGGGTGGGATTGCTTTTTCTACGGTCGGACCTCGCTTATGTGCCGATAGAGTCTACCACCAAAGTCCGTTGACAGGGCAGTGTCTATTTACGGGCCTACGTCGCTGAATGTCTGTGCAAGCACACATTTAGAAAACCTTGCCGTTCCCTCCACACATCAGGCTAAAGGTATACATATACCGTATTGAACAGGCGCCTTCCAGGTTATAATGTACTATGTCACACGCTGACTTGTGTTATCTGCCGGCTATTAATCCAACATGCCCCAATCCCGCATTGGGGCATGACACGCATGTTGTTTAGTCGGCTGGTGTTCGGGAGCAGTCTGACTATAGTCTCCAAGTAGAGGTTTGGGGTTATTTTTGGTGTGTTTTCAACTTTTTTATCGGAGTTTCTAGTTTGCACTGAATCCCCCCTCCCCCCCACAAAAAAAATCCCGGGGCAAAAAAGAAACCCCGACAACGAAAGTTTAAAAACACGCCAAATTACTTTAACCCCAAACCTCTGCTTGGAGAGTAGTCTGACCAGATCAATTGATTTTCCAACCGAGGACATTATGTCTGATTAAATCGCTT